GTGTGTGTGTGTGTGTGTGTGTGTGTGTGCGTGCGTGCGTGTGCGTGCGTGCGTGCGTGCGTGCGTGCGTGCGTGCGTGCGTGCGCGCGTGCGTGCGTGCGTGCATGCGTGCGTGCGTGCGTGCGTGCGTGCGTGCGCGCGCGTGCGTGCGCGCGTGCGTGCGTGCGTGCGTGCGTGCGCGCGTGCGTGCGCGAGTTTGGTGCTTTGGTGCATCGGCAGCCTGGGGCGTCGACACCTCTCCAGGCCCGTGCGCTGGGCCCTCGAGCGACCTTCCGCCGCCTGCCGAGCCTGTCGAGAGCCGAGTCGCGGGCAGCGCCCCCGCCGACTCCCCAGGGCGCAGAGCGCCGTGGCCCCCGCGAGGCCGCGCCCCACCCTAGGCCCCTCAGCCCGGTGCCAAGGGGGGCAGAGAGGGAGAGCACGCGCCGCGCCCAGGCCAGCCCGCAACGCGGGGGGAAGCAGGCCCGAGCGCCCCGAGCGGCCGCCGCCGCCCAGGCTCCTCAGCTCACGGACAACGCCGCGCCAAGGAGGGCAAACGCACAACTGAGAGACCATTCAGATCATTGAACGAGCACAACGGCCTCACCTCAGATCTTTGCCCGTCTTTGGGTCCTGGCCTCGCTTGATGCGGTGGATCCGCCTTTGACGTTCACGATCTCCAGGATCCTTGGGATCGAGCCGCCTGCAGGGACCGCAGATGGCCCTGGCCACCGAGCTGTAGTACGAGCCACACACGACGCACACCACGAACGTGCCGACGATCTCGACGGCGCGCGGCCGCGGCTCCGCCGAGGCTGCCCGTGGCGCCACAGGCGCAAGCTGCCCGCGGCAGGCGAGCTGGGCGGAGGCCGGCCGCCCGCGCGCCCCGCGCTCTGGCGCCGAAGGCGCCGCCGCCGCCGCCGACGAAGACGAGGCCCCCGCCATGGCCGCACCGCCGCCCAGTCCCAGGGAGCAGGCGAGCTCGTCCTCGTCACCACGATCGGCGCCGACACACTGAGCATGGCAGGCCGATTGGGCAGCACTGCGGATCCGCAAAACACCCTCCCGCCCCGCCCCTCTCGCTGTTGCCCCTGCCTCCTGCGGAAGGGGTGCCCTGGAGGCGAGGTCGGGGTTGTGCGACGACATGCGCTCTGACGCCGCCGAGCCCGACGCCAAGGAAGGTGAAGGCCGCTGTCGCTGGGATGGTGCCTCCCGCGCGCCCGCTGCCACGAACTCCACGTCACTGTGCACGCTGAGGACCGCACACTCGTCGCCGTTGTCGTAGCCGTGGGCATACTCCTGAGCCTCAATAGCCACATCTCCACCTTGATCGTCGGAACCCGAGGAGAGCGGCTCGAAGACCCACTGATGCCACGAAGCTGTTTCGGGTGGAGCGCGGTCCCCCAGCAAGCTCCTGAAGCGCACCCTGATCTGGTGCAGCACGTCGAAGTGATGCCGTAGGAGCCGTCGTCTCTGTCTCCTGGTTAAGTCCGAGTCGGACCTCATCCTGGCAAACTGCGCCTGTCTGGCAGGCTCCGCCCTCGTCCAGGACGCGGCACACAGGTCGTCGACGATCTGCCGCAGCGTGCGCCCAGGGCTGCTCCTAAGGAGGTGCTCTCGGACGGGGGCCCAGGCTTCGGCACCCAAGAACACCTCCAGGTACTCGGAGCACCACGTGCGGTAGTCCCGCCCTTTGGTGTAGTCGCCCAGGTCGAACCTGTCGATCCAGAAAGACGCCCATACCACCGCGTCGTCTATGATCGACATCACGCGGTGCTGCTCTGGGATGAGCGCGGGGGGCGGTACGCCCATACACACAGGTCCGTCTGGCTGCGCCTCCACCCTGCGCAAGGCCGCCCTGGCTGCTGCCACTGGCGCCCAAAGAGAGTCCTGAGCAGGCGGCCCCTCCGAGGGGGTCTGGTCTGGCACACGCAGCTCCTCGTCCTGGGCCTCGTGGTCTGAGCGCTGGCGCACGGCGCGACCAGTGGCGCCAGCTGCCACCAGCAGGGGAACCGCCACACTTCCCCTCTTGATGGCACTCTTGACGGTCTTACCCTGGAGCCCTTGGAGTCGACCACGACATTCTTGCAGCTGAAAGGCCGCCAGACGGGCGCGCGCCACCTTGCCGCAGTTGGCGCACTTGTGGTATCCCCGACAGGCTTCCAGGACGTGTGGCTGCTTGGGCGCCGCCTTGGGGCGGGCTGTCGAGGGCGCGTTGGCGCCCTGCTGCTGCTGCCGAGGGCGAGGCACGGCCAGCTTGGCATCGCCGAGGAGGACCCTGAAATGACCGATGTACTCCAGCACGTGCTTGGTGGCCTTGAGCTCCTGCTTGAGCTGCGTCATGGCCCACTCTGGCGGCGCGCTGAGGTCCGCCCCCCTTCCTTAGCCCATACGTCTGCGAGGTCATTGTGTCTCATGCGACGCTGGACCTCATCTGGCAACGCTTGGCGCTTGACGTGCGATATGTGCGAGGCGACCTTGACGACGGACAGATCTTGGCCTGGGGTGATGCCCATGTCGTCGAGGCGGTCCCAGATCACCGCCCACACGTGCGCGTAGGGCCTAGCCGCTGAGCAACAAGACACCCTGCCTCTGGCCAGCCCTTGGACCCCTTGAGCGTTGTCGATAATAATGGTCGTGATGAAGACCGCGTGCCTGAGGGAGTGGAACAACCCCCACAACTCTGCCAGCACCGAGCTCGGGTCGGGGAAAGGTAGGGAGCCGTAGAGGCCCTGCTCCACATCGTGAGCGTCCGCCGTGCACTGTAGCGCCGCCCAGCCACCGTGCCTGAGGTCGCCCAGGCCCTTGACCGAGCCGTCCGAGACCAGCACGCCGTTGAGCTCGGAGTCCGCGCCCTCGACGATCCAGTAGACGCGTTGCTCGGGGAGGTCCCACGCCAGGCCGTAGCAGGGGGTCCGCCGCAAACCTCTCTCCCACAGCCACCTCGCAGCCTCAGAAGAGGAGGCGGTGGCCCCCAGGTGACAGACATCTCGAAAGGCGGGAGCCGCGTCGCATGCTGTGAGCTGGTCCCGCACTGAGGCGCACGTCGGGCTGCTACACTGCCAGTAGTAGTGCTGCATGGTGCCGAACTCGGTGGAGTCGTCGCAGAGCTGGCAGTTGGGCGCGTCCGCCTGGCCCGACGTGAAAAGGGCCTCCTGCGAGGGGTAGCCGCCGAGCACCGCTTTCTTGGCAGCATCCGCGTGGTGCTGCAACCAGCCATCCTGCTTGCCCCTCTTGATCAGCTGCCGCGCGGGTGACAGCCTGGGCGCAGGAAGGAGCGCAGCTCGCTCTGGCTTGGCCGCTGCCCACTGAGCTAGGGCTCGGCCACGGGCTGCGTAGAGGAGCGCCACCTCCACCGACTTGGGGCACACTTGCAGCATGTCGAGGTGGACGTCGGCGCCTTGTAGCACTCCCCCTCGCGGCGGATGGAAGATCTCGAAAGCCGACGGCATGCGCCAGCCATGAGCCCGCACCGTGACCGTGGTGGCTCCCGCGGGGCCGCGGACAACCTGCCAGAGGTCCTGGGGGTCAGCCTCGGCGTGCACCTCTAGCTGGTGCTGGACTCTGGCCCAAGCTGTGGCCTGGGCTCGGCGTCCTTCAGGGTGATCCCACGCTTCCCGCGCCCAAGCCAGCACCGGTGCCAAGACGATGGTGTCGGCGCAGCTGGGGTCCAGGCCGTCGTGCAGCACGCGAGACGTGAAAGCCGCGGCGCCCCTGCGGATAGCGCTGTCCTTCTGTTGAATAAAGCGAACGATGGGTCTGGGCGTGCCGCGCACCCGAGCTCCATAGGCGATCGAAGCTCCAAGACCTTGCCGCACGACCATCTTGAGCTTGCCCCCACGAGCCCTAGGCAGGCCTCTGATCTTGGGCTAGCGCTTCTTAGCTGTCTTGAGGCGCGCGTGCCGCACAGGGGCTGAGTGGCTCTCGGCTGTGACGCTGGTGCCGCAGTCGATGCCAAGCCATCTCTCGGAAGTGCTGGGCGGCACCCCGAGAACAGCCATGGCCTGCTGGAGGCCTGCTGAGGAACTGGCCGTCTGCAAGAACGAGAACCTGCCCTTGGCCCCATCACGAGCCCTCGCCACCTCCAGGCCCAAGAAGGATTCCATCATCCAGAACAGCGTCCGCGTGGCCCGGGGCAGAATCTGCAGGACACGCACCTCAGTAGACATGACTCGCAAGGCGAGGGCCACCACTTCCAGAGGGCCGTCCCACCAGGCCGCTAGCCACCACATTCGCACATGAGAGACCCTCTCGTAGCACTTAGCCAAGTCGGCCAGCATAGTAGCGGCACGGATGCCCGTGCCAAGGACCAGCTCGTCGTCCAGGAGCGCCTTCCACAGTGCCCGCTCTGACGATTGCCCAGCTGCCGTGTAGTCGTAGCTCCTGGGGTGTGCTGCCAACCACCGTCGTATGGAGGGGAGCTGCCAGGCCTCCCAGATTCTGCATGGGCCAGGCAATAAGATGATGGGTCGCCCACCGCCGTCGAGCTTTTCAATGATGAAAACGAGCAGGAGGTGCACCTGCGACGGCCACGGTGAGCGCTCCAGATCCTCAGGGAGGGTCTCCCAATCCGCGACGACGATCCATGGTAGCAAGAGCTTCACCACCCACACCGTGATAACTGATAAGATAGCAGCGTCGCCCACTGGCGACAACTTCTGACCAGCAAAGCAGCATGCACAGAAAACCATGAACTTGCCAATGTGTTTAGCTTCGATCGTGGCCATCAGAAGCCTGCCCGCACATCCTGGGGGAGAGATGTCCCAGTGCCGCTGCTCGGGCGCAAGAGTGACGCCGACACATGCAGGCACAGTAAGCAGGACGCCCGCCGAGGCGCCCCCGTTCGGTCCGTCGGTGGCTGGAACTGGCAGGGCCTTCCATCCGAGCGGGAGCACGGCCCGCGCGCTCTCCTCGGCCCACCAGTGTCGCTTGCCGTGCTCCTGGAAAGCAATGATCGGAATCTTGCCCTCGGAGAGCTGCTGGTGCGCAGCGCCGTGGAGGTACGCCACGACGTTACCCCAACAGAGGCTGGCGTTGACGCTGTGGAAGATGAAGCGCCTGTTGCTGCGCCGCCGTCGGGAACCTCTCCGTGCCCCTGCTGCTGGCGGTCGGCATGGCCTGCCACCGCTGTCCGACTGGGCTTCGTCGCTGAGGGCCGCCAGGTTCCCCGCGCTCTCCCCGTCAGCATCCAGGCGGCCTCCTCCATGTTGAGCAGGGCCAGAGAGACCCCCATCTGAAGTAAACTGCGGCGTCCTGCCTGAGAAACCGCCCTCTGCGGGATGAGCACCTCCAAGTGAACCCCATGCCAGAGAGAGCTGCTGAAATACGTTGGGCCCCAGTGCGAGAGAAACCACCAGCTGAAAAAAAGATGGGCACCCCCAGGGAGAACACCGCAAACACGTCCAGCAGGGTCGTGACTGGGATCGGGATCCTGGGCCTCCAGCATCGCGGACTGACGATGGAGACCCCCAAGCTGAGTGCCAGGGACGATGACTGGGGCAGGCTGGAGACCAACGCCCGACACGCCACCATCCTTTGAAGCACGCCGGCCATGGACAGGCAGCGGAGCCTCGCCAGGGCCGTCGGAGAAACCATCTTCTGAAATACGTTGGACGTCTTCAGGTGGCGCTGCTGCCTGGGCTGGTGGCCCACCATCGTCTGGGAACAGTGGGCCCTTGGCGGCCTGGAGGGCCTGGGCGGTAAGGAGCCTCCAACATTGTGGGGTGTCGTCAAAGACCATGGTGCGGTTGGCCTGCGTCGGCGTAGCCTGTTGCGTTTGTCGGTCGAACCACCTCTCCGCCGCGGACTGAGCGCAGTCTTGCTTGGCCACCTCCCTCTCGTAGGCGGCCTCCTCGGCTGCCTGCAGGTCATCCAACCTCTGCCGTAGAAGTCGCCTGGTGTCGATGCTCCGCAGATGATTCCAGGCATCGTCACACAACTCCCGAGCGAGCCTCATCCTCTCCGCGATGCGCGAGCCGCTGCCTGGGGCTGCCGCCCGGTCGTCCAGCATGGCGGTGCCATCGGGGCCGCGGAGGCTAGGTGGCTCAGCAAGGCTAGCACCAGCAGCAGCAGCACCGTCCCCAGGTGGCTGCCCAGGGGCTGCGTCCTGGCTGGGGGCGGCGGCGGCTGCCGCGGCTGCAGGCGGATCGCCTTCGCCCGCGGCCGCCGCCTGGCCAGCTGCTGGTGCTGTGGCGGCTGGCTCTGGGGCTGCAGCTTCGGTGCGGGGTCGCTTGCGCCTGGCGAGGAGTAGCTGGTGCTTGGCGTCGATCTCGCTGCGCCTCTGCTCCAGCTGCGCCTTGACGTCCCCGAAGGTGGCGCGGACGTGCTGCTTGACCTGGTCGACGAAGCTCCGCAGAGACCTGCTGAACTCCTCGCGCTCGGCATCTGCGATGTCCAGGTCGGGATCGTCGAGCTTGAAGGCGTCACCCGCTTCGACCTGGAAGTCCTCCGCCAAGAGCGCCGTGACGTTGAGCCCGACGACTGGATTGGGCTCACCACCTGGCTGCCGCTGCTCCGCCCGCGCCTGCACCTGGATACCTTTGGGCGCGGCGGCCTTGTAGGCGCCCTCCACTTCCAGGTTGCACGCCAGGAGTGCCTCCCCCGCGCGCAGCTCCTCTTCGCGGCATGCCTGGAGCCACTGCTCGGCGTCGCGGACCAACTGGGTCTTGGCCGAGAAGGTAGCCTGAGCCCTCCGCTGCTTGGCCCGCGCGCGGTTGAGGGCCACGTCTGGCAGCACCGCGGCCACAACGGGCGGTGCGACGGCCAACTTGATGGCCTCCAGCCGCTGGCACTGCTCTGGGCGCCGCGCCGCCAGCGCCGCGAGGCACTCGGCGTCGGAGGGTGGGCCGGCCGCGGGCGGCATGTCGACGCACCAGGCATCGCCGTGCGCCACCCACGGCTTCCGCACGAGGGACCAAGCCGCAGCCCGTGGCCGTGCAGCGTCGTCCACGACGGCAGGCTTGAGCGCCTTCTTGCAGTTGTAGCACTCGACCCTGGACTTGAAGTTCCACTTGCACGAGCAGTGCGCACAGCGGACGTAGTCCACGGGGTCTGAGCCGCAGGCGTTGGTCTTGCCCGCTTTGCCAACTCCCTTGCCCTTGGCCCAGCCGCCGCCCTTGGCCCGCGGCTCCGACCTGGCCCTCTGAGAAGCACCATTGGACACGGCGAGTGGGCAGCGCACAGCCTACCCCTCGCCCAAAACTGGATCAAAACTGTCGGGCGGAAACGCCCTGGCACTGGCCGCGGGCTAGCGGTATCCACGCGTCCCCCTGTGGAACAAAGCATCTTGAGCCAAAATGGCCACGGGCGTGCGTGCGTGCGTGCGTGCGCGTGCGCGTGCGCGCGCGCGTGCGCGTGCGCGTGCGCGCGCGCGTGCGAGTGCGCGCGCGCGTGCGCGTGCGCGTGCGCGTGCGCGTGCGCGTGCGCGTGCGCGTGCGCGCGCGCGTGCGCGTGCGCGTGCGCGTGCGCGTGCGGCGTGAGAGTGCGCGCGCGCGCGCGTGCGCGCGTGCGCGCGTGCGCGCGTGCGCGCGTGCGCGAGTGCGCCGCGTGCCGCCCAGCGCGCGTGCGCGCGGGTGGCGCGCGTGCGCCGCCGTGCGCGCGTGCGCGCGTGCGCGCGTTCGCGCGCGCGTGTCGCGTCGCGCGTGCGCGCGTGCGCGTGCGCGCGCGCGTTGCGCGTGCGCGCGTGCGCGCGCGTGCGCGCGTGCGCGCGTGCGCGCGTTCGCGCGTGTGCGCGTGTGCGCGTGTGCGCGTGTGCGCGTGTGCGCGTGTGCGCGTGTGCGCGTGTGCGCGTGTGCGCGTGTGCGCGTGTGCGCGTGTGCGCGTGTGCGCGTGTGCGCGTGTGCGCGTGTGCGCGTGCGCGCGCGTGCGCGTGTGCGCGTGTGCGCGTGTGCGCGTGTGCGCGTGCGAGCGTGTGCGCGTGTGCGCGCGTGCGCGTGTGCGCGTGTGCGCGTGTGCGCGCGTGCCCTGTGGCGCGTGTGTCGGTGTGCGCGCGTGCGCGTGTGCGCGTGTGTGGCGTGTGTGCATGTGTGCGCGTGGCGCGAGGGCGGGGGGGGGGTGCGCGTGTGGCGGCGCGTGCGCGCGAGCGCGCGTGCGCGCGTTGCGCGTGTGCGCGCGTGCGCGCGTGCACGCGCGTGCGCGCGTGCGCGCGTTGCGCGCGTGCGCGCGTGCGCGCGTGCGCGCGTGCGCCCACGCGGCTTGCGGTTGAGGGGGGGGTGGCGTGGTGTGTGGGCATGTGGCGTGTGGGTGCGTGTGTGCGTGGGGGCGTGGGTGCGTGGGTGCGTGGTTGTGCGCGTGTGCGCGTGTGCGCGTGTGCGCGTGTGCGCGCGTGCGCGTGTGCGCGTGTGCACGTGTGCGCGTGTGCGCGTGTGCGCGTGTGCGCGTGTGCGCGCGTGCGCGTGTGCGAGTGTGCGCGTGTGCGCGCGTGCGCGCGTGCGCGTGTGCGCGTGTGCGCGTGTGCGCGTGTGCGCGCGTGCGCGCGTGCGCGCGTGCGCGCGTGCGCGCGTGCGTGTGTGCGCGTGCGCGCGTGTGCGCGTGTGCGCGTGTGCGCGTGTGCGCGTGTGCGCGTGTGCGCGCGTGCGCGTGTGCGCGTGTGGGTGTGCGTGTGCGCGTCGCGTGTCGCGTGTCGTGTGTCGCGTGTCGTGTGTCGTGTGTCCTGTGTCCTGTGTCGCGTGTCGTGTGTCGTGTGTCGTGTGTCGTGTGTCGTGTGTCGTGTGTCGTGTGTCGTGTGTCGTGTGTCGTGTGTCGTGTGTCGTGTGTCGTGTGTCGTGTGTCGTGTGTCGTGTGTCGTGTGTCGTGTGTCGTGTGTCGTGTGTCGTGTGTCGTGTGT